TCTACAGTAAACCAGGGATGGGAAATTCCAGTCCTTGAAGGCCACTGTCCTGCAGAGTTTTCTTACTACATTACATCCCTAATGGAGTTTTAAGACTGATGGTATTCTTAGTCCTAGTGAACCAGTATCAGGATATATTTTTGATATAGACTTCAAAGCACTGGATGTGAGGCAGGTGTGTTTGATGGTAAATGGTAAATGGTCTGCACTTATATAGCACTTTACACTGTTTCTCATTCACTCATTCACACACACACAAACACACACACACACACACACACACGCACGCACACGCACGCACGCACGCACGCACGCACACACACACACACACACACACACCAATGGTAGCAGAGCTGCCATGCCAGGCACAATAGTTTTGTTCTCAGTTAGGGTTAAAGGGTAAATGTGGGACCTATTTAGGGTCCTGTTTGAGAGAACATCAAGAGCCTGCTCATATGTTCTGGGAAGGGGTGGAGCACATCTGTTGATTTTATGAAATACTTTTTGGAATACAAAGTAACATTTGAGGATTATTGTGGATTGTTTTACTTTGGAGGACAGGTCTCAGGCAGTGATTTCTTGTTCCAATCATGAGACTTTAGTGTTATCATGTGGAAACCAAGGCAACCTTGGCACAATAGAGATTTTAGAAGATGCTTTGCTGAGGAGAGGGATTAGTTCAATGTAAAGATGTTGAGGTGTATTGGAATTTTCTGATGAGTTTTTTTTAAGAAATCACAAAAAACAATTTTTTTAAACCAATTTGTTTTCCATCTAGAGCTTGAACATGAATTGGGGTTTTCAGAAGTTTTACTGGAATTTGGAATGCCACCATATATGAATTTCAGGAGTCCACATAGTGCATACTAACACACTAACATATGGTTGTTCTCTTTGCTCAGCTTTGTTAAATACAAGGATCTTAGAGCTTGTCTGGGCAAATGGATAGCATGGTAAGGGCATCCAGGGAAAGATCTCTATCCCTACAAGTCAGTTTTGTAAACATATTCTTCCTAAATTCTTGATGAATAGCAGCAATGCGAACAGGTTTGTTCCATCTGCTTCTGGCAGCCAATGTGCTGCAGTGCAGTGTGCTTTGTTTCAGGGTTAGGAGACTTTATCCTACTTCTTTGTCAGCAGGTGGTTGGTAATACACACTGCAAAAGAGTTCAACAAGACTTTTATGACCACACAGTGGTTTGCATGTGCTCACGTGCTTTTACACGTGTGTCTCTTCATAAGATAAAGAAACACTGTAACTGTGGATAGTTTTCTGTTTGGATATGATTTAGTTGAAGTGTGACTTGCTGGGGATCATGGAACTTGGGGTTTGTGGTGGGTGCAGACATAGACATGACAGGCAGAGGTGACAGTGGCAATGAAAACTCCCTGAGATGACATGAAGATTATAACCTCTTGAAAAGTGATCCTACCCTCTTCTGGGTGACACTAAATACAGTGGCAAGAAAAAGTATGTGAACCTTTTGGAATTTCATGGTTTTTTGAATAACTTTGTCTTAAAATGTGATCTGATCTTCATCTAAGTCAAGGGTATTGACAAATATAATGTGTCTAAAATAATAACACACAAAAAAATCTGATCTTTCATGTCTTTATTGAGAACCTTTGAGTTAATGACCTCAAAAAAGCTTTTTTTTTGCATACCTGGAGTCTCATTAAGAAAATGAATTTGGAGGTGTGGACTACAGCTACTTTGACTGATATAAAACCTTCAAACTTTTGGAGGGTGCTATGCACAAGAAGCATATGCTTATGTGAGCCATGCCTCGCCAAAAAGAGCTTTCAGAGTATCTACGATCAAGAATTGTTGACTTACGTAAAGATGCCAATGGTCACAAAGTGATTTCAAAGACTGTAGAAATTCACCGGTCTACAGTTAGGCAAACATTTTACAAATGAAGACACTTTGGGACTGTTGCTACTAGAATTGGGTGCCTAGTCAAAATGAACCCAAGAGCACATCAAAGACTCATCAATGAGGTAAAGAAACAACCCCAAATGACAGCAAAGATTTGAAGGCATCATTGGAATTGTCTAACATCTCTGCTCATGAGTCTACAAAAACCACATTGACCACAAAAGAGCACATTGACAATCCACAGCGGTATTGACAAAATGTTTTGTGGACTGATGAAACTAAGATTGAATTATTTGGAAAAAACACACAGTAGAATATTTGGCGTAGAAAGGGCACGGCATATCAAAATGAAAACATCATCCCAACCATGAAGTATGGTGAAGGAAATTTCATGATTTGGGCCTGCTTTGCTGCATAAAGGCTTGACAAGCTTGCAAACATTGAGGGGAAGATGAAATCCCAAGTAGAGTCAGACAATTCTTCAGGATAATATGAGAATGTCTGTACATCAGCTGAAGCGGTGTAGAAGTTGAGTGATGCAACAGGACAACAACCCAAAACACAGATGCAAGTCCACAACAGAATGGCTTCAGAAAAACAAAATCCGCCTTTTGGAGTGGCCAATCAGAGCCCAGACCTCAACCCAATAGAGATGCCACAGAATGATTTGAAGAGAGCCATACACATGAGACGTCCAAAGATTATAACAGAGCTAAAGCATTTCTGCCAGGAAGAATGGGCTAAAATTCCTTCTGAATGATGAGCAGGTCAGATCTACAGCTACAGGAAGCACCTGGTTGAGGTTATAAGGTTCATATACTTTTTCTTGCCACAGTACTGGGATTATATTCACTACAGTATGCAGTCATATAGGGCAGACAGTACCAAATGTATTGAAAGGATACTAGGTTTGGGCTTGAAGTGCAGGTTTGGGCTTTGTTAAAATAAGCCACTGCAATCAAACCTAGAGGTTAAGACAATTCATAAAAACTATTAATGGGCAAAAGGTCCGTATAGTGGCAAACAGAGCAAGGCTAAAGAGTAAATCCTTAAGATGAATTAGTATCTGAATTGGATAATCAGACAGGCAAATGCAAATATAAGGCTCAATAACATCACATAGCCTATCCCAGGGGACCCGACCTATCGCAGGGCACAATTGCACACACACTCATACCCATTCACACACTATGGACAATTTAAAGATCTACAGTGCATGTATTTAGACTGCAAGAGGAAACTGGTCTACCCGGAGGAAACCCCCAAAGCACTGGGAGAACATGCAAACTCTGAGCAATCTGGGTGGGCAAACATCATAAACAAATATATTATTATTATTATTATTATTATTATTATTGCTGTTATTATGAAAGATGTTAAATATTATTATTTGACAGCGTCAATGTCAAAATGTTCTACTCAAATCTACGACGATCTATGAAAAAGTAGGTGAAAAGTTGAAACAGATGACTAGCAACACCAGGAGTAAAATTTTGCATATTGTTAATTTCTTTTGCACATGCTGATCATATTTGATAAATGAGGAACTGTACCTGGGTGTTTGTGTTTGTGTGTGTGTGTGTGTGTGTCTATGGACAAACATGCTCTGTAGGATGCACAGAGCTTAATGAAGAAGCTTCTTCATTAAAAATAAACTATTGCAGAAGCAACATCATTGTGTGTCTCTATGTGTCCTCAACATGATACATATACACACGCCATCACCATCATATGTACGTATAACATGATACATATACACACGCCATGACTAATGAGCTGGAGATCATAGCATCTCATCAACAATCTGAATGTGAAATAATGTGTGTTTTGCAAAGTACAGATTATGGCTATCAAGGATATCATGATATCATGAGGATTATGTAATGCCAAGATAATTTTTAAATTGTTGGAAAACAACATCTCATTTTAAATATGGCTAAACATGTCAGATTAATTGCTGTTGTTAAAATGAGTGGTTATTAAAGTCTTTATGGGATTCACTAACTCAGCAGAAACACCTACTTGATTCATTTCCATATACATGCATGAATCCCACTGGCACCTGAAATGTCCATTTACCTTCTAATTTGAATTTGTCTGCCTGCCTCTTAAAATAAAAGCTTTAATTTCATTTCATCTGTCTGAAATCCCATTACATGACAACAGCAACCCAAAGTATAAAAGTATTTTGCCATAACATTTTGCCATGACCCTCTCAGTCTCCAGACTTTATTTGAAGTGTATGGAGGCTGAAAATGACAACTGACACAATCTAAAACATAGGAAAACTAAGTAAAAAAGGGGATGCTGTGATAATTAAACTGATGCCATTTTGTTTTTGCAATATTTTGTTATAGATCTCTGCAACCCAATACACTAAAGCCATGATTTACTATGATTTTTTACTATTAAAATAACAAGTGTTAGGTTCGATATCATATTCCGATATATGATATCGTACAGTTGTTCCCTTTCAATGGGAACTCAATGTTGCTGGGTCCAGTTCAGAGCTTGGCAATGCATACAGATGTGGCCTTTAAGAATGCGCGTTTTTTCATGTGGTATCATGCGATTCATAACGTGCGATGACGCGGTATACTGCAGGCACGGTTCTCAGAATATAAATTAATTTGTTGTGCTTCACATAATACCCACCAGATGGCACATGGAACAACATACTGTAGCTAAAATGGTAAATGTGCACTTATATAGCGCTTTTATCCAAAGCGCTTTACACTGTGTCTCATTCACCCATTCACACACACACCAATGGTAGCAGAGCTGCCATGCAAGGCGCTAGCTTGCCATCAGGAGCAACTTGGGGTTCAGTGTCTTGCCCAAGGACACTTCGGCATGTGGATTCACCCGGGCCGGGAATCGATCGGCCACAATCGATTACGATTAGTGGACAACCTGCTCTATCAACTGCGCCACAGCCGCCCATAGCTGAACACAATACAATAAAAATGGAATTCGTGGCCGAATGGTTCTCATAAAAATATAAAATTTCTAATAAAAACTTATGATAAACTTAATTTAAACAAGTTTTTAAATTACAAGATTATGTAAAATATAAAATGTGTGTATTGAGTACAGGTACATTGATGTGATGTTGCATGTGTGCTTGATAGTGCAGTGGTAACATGCAGGCTTAATATGCTAGTGCTTGGGGTTCGAGCCTCAGCTCAATTAACTTGTTTTTTAAATGAGTGGGGTTTTTTTCACTGTAGAAAGTTCATCGAGGTAACAGTGAATGAACTCTGCGTGAACAACAATGACTTGAGGCCCATGCCACTAAGAAGATTCAGGTGATGGACTATTAGCAAGTTATTGTTATTGATTTGTATAATTCCAACAATTATTATGTTTTTTCTTCACTATTTAGCTGTATTTTTATTTTAAGTATCTAATAAATTGTAATTTTTATGATTTTTAGGTTATTCTTCATTTACTACAGCTTCTGACCATCAAATCAAAACATACTGATGATTTGATGACATAATGCTTATTTATTCAGAAATAGAAGTAACTAAATACAAAATTGCTACTTTCAATTTTAACTCTGACAGCATGCTTTCAGTGGATCAGGTCCCATTTATATTTTTGATGAGCTGCAGAGATATTCAAGACAACTATATCATATATTTTATTTGTTTAATTTATAAAATTGTTTCATTCAGTGTCATGTTTGTGATTTTTATTCGATGTGTAGAATATTTAGATTAAGCAATGTCCAGAAATAGGTACATTTTTATAGCCTACCATTTCATTCTCCAGTTTAACTTTTATTTAACTGTAGATAAAAATAAAAATAAATGATTGCCTTGTAACATTATTTTACAATGACAGAAAACACTGCCTATTCCAAATGAAGTTTTACTTTTTCCCTGTTCAGAACAATCAACATATATTGTTCACGCTAGGGGAATATTGTTTACAATTTTCTAATAGGGGGCGCACGGTGGCTTAGTGGTTAGCACGATCGTGTTAGCCATGTGTGTGCGGAGTTTACATGTTCTCCCCGTGCTGCTTTTGTACTCCGTTTTCCTCCCCCAGTCCAAAGACATGCATGGTAGGTTGATTGGCGTGTCTAAATTGTCAATAGTGTATGAATGGATATGTGATTGTGCCCTGCGATGGACTGGCACCCTGTCCAGGGTGTACCCCGCCTTATGCCCTATGCCTCCTGGGATAGGCTCCAGGTTCCCCGCGACCTTGAAGGAGGAATAAGTGGTTGAAGATGGATGGATGGATGGATGGATGGATTTTCTAATAGGTCTTATTGAGCAGCTGATAATTTCTTACTGACCTATTTCACTGTCCAGCCAGTTACAATTATGACCAAGAATTTTCTTAAGTTAGTGAAAGTAAGAAAAGGAATGCAGTTTGTTTAATTGGGCAATCCAGGGAGTAAAATGCAAATTCTCACTTACTGTAGCTTTGTTACGATATGGCCAGCAGATGGCACTGTGGCTCGTCTTTGGACGAGTCACATGACTTTGTTTTGATCGCTCGCTTCCGGGTTGAGTGTTAGCTTAAGTACTTTGATTTGTCACAGGTGTCCATGCTTTTTGTTAATTATGTTGATTATTTAAACGCCTGGGTGACTGAGCACTTCGCTCAGTGTAATTAGTTGTATTATTTGTAGCGGTCGTGTCGTTTGTCTTCATGCCATGAAGGATATTGTTATGCCACGTTTCCCGATTCAAGTTTGCCTGTGAAAACCGCGTTTATTTTGGTTTTGTGTTTTAAGTTTAATAAAGACTTTGATCTGCACCTGCATCCGCCTCCAATTACGAAATGTTACAAGCTTCAATAGCTTTGGATTCACATTCAAATGTACTTGGCGATTAATACGCAATTATCATCTTTAAGTAATCTTTCCATTGCCTTATTAAATTGAAGTTGAGGAGCAGAAGAATAAAACTTGATGAGTCATATAAATTCTATACAGGTCAAGTTATTTGTACATATTTGCAGTCTATGACATTGCAGTGGAGGGAAAAGCATTTTACTCAAAGAGAAGAGTTGCTGAGAGGTGATAATAGTTGGGGGGAAGAGGAGATCCACTCGTCAATAAGTAACAGGTGAAAAAGTTTCAGTGTTCATCCTCTTCAAAACACAAACAATTTATTTGTTGCTAAACCCAATCCTACGAAAGCCCTAAGCAGCCATGCATTTTTTTTTCTTTGGCTTTATCCTTCCCGCAGTGACGGTCCCGCAACTTGTACACATGGTATAATTTTTGGGTATAAAAAAGTATCTTAGAGAGGCAGAGTCTTTCAGAAGTAAAGATGGGCAGAGGTTCACCAATCTTTTTTGAGACGTGTTGCTGCCATCAAATTCAAAATTACCTTATTTTTCCCTTAAAAATTTTACATTTCCTCAGTCTAAACATTTTATGTTTTCTTCATTCTATTGTGGGTAAAATATGGGTTTGTGAGATTTGCAAATCATTGCATTTTGTTTTTATTTACATTTTACACAACTTTTACATGTTGATGCTGACAGTTACGTCTTCCTTATTTTATTTATTTTTTTGCTGGAAATCCCCACAGATGACTTTTCTTTCAGTATTCTAAGTTCTTGTGATCAGTGAATATGATGAAAGGGTGTGTTGCTCCCTTCAGCCAGTGTCGCCATTCTTCCAGGGCTAGCTTAACAGCCAAGAGTTCTCTATTGCCCACATCGTAGTTTCTTTCGCCATGAGATACTTCACGTGAAAAGAATGCCACAGGATGCAGTTTGGGCCTCTCTCCGAAACACTGTGAGAGAACAGCTCCAACGCCTGTCTCCGATGTGTCGACCTCCACCACAAATGGTTTGGATGGGTCTGGGTGCTTGATATGGGAGTGGTTGTGAAGGCCTTCTTGAGCTGATCTAGTGCTGCTTGGGCAGCTGGGTTCCATGGCAGGCATTTAGGCTTTCCTCTCAACAAGGTCGTTAGTGGGTTTACTATGGAGCTGAAATTTCTGATGAACCTTCTGTAAAAATTGGCAAAACCCAGGAATCTCTGTAGCTCCTTCACAGTTGCAGGTTTGTACCAGTCTACTACTGTTTTCACTTTTACTGGGTCCATGGTAACCCCCTCAGGGCTGATGATGTACCCCAGAAATGAAACGGTGTCCTTATGGAACTCACACTTTTCAGCTTTGATGTAAAGCTGGTGCTGGAGTAATCGTTGCAGGACTTTATGGACATGGTGAACGTGCACCTCCTTAGAAATGGAACAGATCAATATATTGTCGATGTACGTGATTACGTAACATCCCAGGATGTCCCTTAAGATGTTGTTGATTAGACACTGGAAGACAAAGGGAGTGCTAGAAAGCCCATATGGCATTACTAGGTATTCGTAGTGCCCGGAGGTGGTGCTAATCCCCATCTTTCACTCGTCTCCCTCTCTGATCCGGACCAGTTTGTATGCACTGCAAAAGTCCAGCTCTGTGAAGATGGTGGCAGCGAGAAGTTGTTCTAGAGCAACTGGTACTAATGGAAGAGGGTAGCGATACTTGATACAGCATTGGTTTAGACCCCTGTAGTCTATGCATGGTCGTAGCCCTCTAGCCCTTTCTTTGTTAAAAATGTTGCTGAGGTCCTGGTATTCAGTGGGAATGCGGACTGTAGTTGTTTTGTTTGGGCTCTTGATGGAGGTGGTCGGTAGGGTGATCACGGGTGTCTGAAGACAATGGTTGATGCAATGGGGGGACCAGTGCGTGATCTCCTTGTGAGTCCAAGAAATAACCGGGTTGTGGCGTTCAAACCAGGGGATGCCTAGGACCACTGGATGTCTGGCAGACACCGTGACATAGAACACCATGCTGTCCTGATGGAGTGCGCTGGTCCGGAGGTTAAGTGGTTTAGTACAATGCGTGATGAAATTCCCCCAATGGGGGCCCCATCAATGGCTTGAATCTGGCGTGGTGTGATTAGTGGACGAATGAGGATGTTGTGCTGCTGTATGGTGTTCAGGTCAATGAAATTCCCCGCCACTCCTGAGTCAATCAGTACTTCTAAAGTACAACACAGTCCTGAATATTCTACTATGACCGGCAGCAAGAATACAGATTGAAATGCGCTCTGGGTTAAAGGACCCAATCTCACCCCTGACTGATGTAGCTTAGCCGTTCCGTTGTCTAATATGTCACGGCATTACTTGAAAGGGCATTGTCTGATGAATTGCTTCTCCTCACCACAGTAGAAGCAACAAAGCTCTACCGTAGAGAATACAGAAGCAGATGTAGGCGACAGATTCAGGTAGTATAATCCAGAGGAATAGTCATAGTTCGTAGTCGAGAAACAGGTGAGGGTCAAGCGATCATGCAATAAAAACAAAATGGGGCAAGGCAGAAATCGAGGTCGGGGACGTACACAACGGTCAAAGTCACTTTGCAATAAACCCAGAAGATATGGCTTGGATAATGAGAGAGAAACAAGTCAGCTGAACGTTTACTTCGCAAAGTCTGAATGCATCCATAGTCAATTATATGCTGTGGTGAGAGGGCGGTCATGATTGGCTGCAGGTGTGATCAGGACTCCAGGGAACCTGAGCGCATGCGTAAGTGTTGCTTCTCGGGAAAATGAGTCGTGGCTGGGCTGAGATTTGACAGAGGAACGGAACTGAATGTAGGGAAGTAAAAGTACATTTCTTGAGTAAGAGTATATGTATGGCCAATTAACTATTAAAAGTATTTAATTTTTTCAAAAAGTTACTGAAGTAAATGTAACGAAGTAAATGTACCATGTTACTACCCACCTCCTCAGTACTGAATTCAGTTCAATTAAATTTTATCTGTATAGCACTTTTAACAATGGACATTGTCTCAAAGCAGCTTTACAGAAACATATATACACAGGATACAGAATTTAAATGTGTGAATTTTCCCTAATGAGCAAGCCGGTGGTGATTGTGGCAAGGAAAAATTCCCTAAAATGATATGAGGAAGAAACCTGAAGAGGAACCAGACTCAGAAGGGAACCCACCCTCATCTGGGTGACAACAGATAGTGTGAAAGTATGCTCGATTATGGTTTTCAGAGATAATATCTCTGCTAGAAGGCACTCCATGGGAGATTCCCATCCACAGGGATCTACTGTCTCAAGCCAAGGTATATAAACTGTGGGTCTGGCCAGCTTATAGATACTGGTCTCGCAACTGAGGTTGTAGGGACCATGTTGAACACTAGAGCACCA